GTGAGTGTGTGTGTGTGGTAGCCTATCCGTTCGAAATTTTTGGAGCCCCGGAAAGCGTGCTCTTCGCCAGGGCCACCGCCACTCTTGGGTAGCGGGTGAGGCAGTCCAACCTCCCTGAATCCTCCAAAGAGATGCCACCACAGGACCTCCGTGGCAGGGCATCTCTGCACCCAGTGCTCCAAATCTTGGGGCTCCTCGCTACACATGGACAGATTGGGTCCGATGTTTTGTCTATTCCAATTTTCTGGCCCGCAGCCGAGAGAAGTGACCAGTCCTGATTTGTGCCAGGAGTGTCTTGTCGCCGAGGGGCTAATTTGAGCCTCCCGTTGGCTGTTGTTTAATTGTTGTTGTTGTTCTTGGTGTTGTTACCAAAACCACCGGATACATGAATGCAGATTAAGTGCACAGACTACTTGTTTGTTACTTCGTCACAGATTTAGGCAAAAGTACTCGATAAACAAAGCGGAAAGTCCGGGTTCAAGCCTCGGTTCTTGCATGTATATTTTCGCCCCCTCCTGCCCACCCAGCAGTAATGGGTACCTGACTTCGAGTTGGGGAAGTAAAGGGGGTGTGGAAAGGAACTGGCCACCCTACCACAATATGCCGAAGGCCCAGGAAATTGCCTCACTAACAAGGCAATCCCCAATGTTCGGATCGGATGCCGGATCAACTTTACTTTTTGCTCAATAAATAAACTCACATTTATTTTATTAATTACTAGCTGGGCCCCCTTTCGATGAAAGGAATGATCGGTGCTTTACTATCAACTAAAAGTCAATGGCCTACTATATTTATACTCTACTGGAATGAGGCAATAAATCTTGAAAGGTGCAAAAAATTCGAAGGTCTAGATCTATACTCTCAAAACAAAATACGCCTAGCGAAATATCACTTCCGGATTTTCTAAAATTACAGAGACAGAAGCGTCGGCAAAATAAAGAAATTTAGCTTTTAGCAGCAAAACTGTCTCAAAACTGAAAAAAATCAAGGGCGTCATGATCTGGAGAATATTTTAAAGAATCTTTTGGCGAAAACCGCATGTCGATCGATGCAGCCATTAAAAAAGCCTTTTGAATAGCAAAATTTGGCCACTACAAATAGATAATAGAAATGTAGGTATTTTACGCCCCTACGGACACAACACAGATTGCCCAGGAGGCGGGTTGGACCCTGTCGGTCTGGGTAGGCCCGGACTGAGAGGGATGTAACATCCCAGCAGTAAGACTAAGGTACTCGATCTGATAAACCGTCCCCCGACCCCCCCCCC